AGTGAAACTTCTCAGAGGATTGCATCTCCGCTCGAGATTATACATTGTTAGGTCCCTACTTGTTGCCAATTCCACGAACAAACTTGGCTTAATGGAGTTGTAATTTTTCCTTTGTTTTTGGTCTTCCCACTCAAGTGGGAAAAGCTGCACTCGAGCAGAGTTCTCACACTTTTAGTAGTTTGGCTTGTCTACAAAAATATTGGGAGGTGCGTTTTTACGCTCTAACGTAGACCCTGGCTTGGAACACGCGTTTTAGTGATACCGCTAAGTCCTGCGCTCGAGCAGACATCGCGGATCAATTTGCTATAAAAGCTGTGTTTCAGTCAGGTTTTAGGTTACGCTTCCAAATCTTCTTTGAGGGTTCTAGGGTTTTCTTCTGGAACAATTTTGTGAGTTTTCTTTGATTTTTGGTTGAGTATTAAACTCATGGTTTGACAAAGTATACATCAAAGAGTTGTTTGATTGTTCAATTACAAGAGTGTTCTTCTTCAGTGGAATCCAAAGATTCAAGTGTGGAGTATTCGAAGGAGTTCAAAGCTGTGCGCAGTTGTAGATTCGACATAGATGTTATGGATTCAACATCAAGCTAATCAATTCTGAGACGAAAGTGGTGGTGAAAGAGATACAGATTGTTGAAGAAAAATTGATTGCGTTTGGGTAATTTGTTTCGGTAAATTTGTATTCTTTCTTTCTTTCATAGTGGATTGATTAGTAGCGTTTTGCCCGTGGTTTTTTAATCACAATTGAAGGTGCTCCAATTGTGATTTTTCCACGTAAAATTGGTTTTGTTGATTTATTGATTTTGAAGCAACAATCTAAATCAGTTTCGTACGTGCCAGATGATTTAGATTGTTAGTTTTAATCGTTTGGGAATTGTTTCAATTAATCTTGATTCGAATCACAAATCACTTAGGTTTTTCATACATGGGTATTCTAAAGATTATATTTGTTATCCATTTTTGTAAAACAAATATGATTCAAACAAATAATTATCAATACCAAATTATCTTAATTTTTTGTATGAATATTCTATTCAACAAGTTTAAAAAGTAAACGATTCGGATCACCTAAATCAGCTTCAAAATAAACCTATCAAATTTAAATATTTTTTTAAATTAAAATAACAAACATATCATATGCATTCTTCCAATGGAATGAGAATATTTCTTAACATAATTAAATGCATGAATGCTATGCATTGTCTGGTTCTCACATATCATATACTTAGTGTGTCAGTTACAACATTAGCCTTTCAAAGTGAATTAATAGTCTTCGAGATATTCCATCCAACATCTCTGCCTTATAGACCATAGCCGCTAACTCCAAATTATGGGTGCATTTTTTTTTATCCAATAATTCTTGTAATTGCGCCTTCAATTTTCAAACTTCTGCGAGTGCCATACAATGTGGTGCCATGGGTATTGGTGGCACCCTAGGTTTCAGTTCGATCATAAAATCTAACTCATGTTTTGAAAGTAATTCCAGTAGTTAGTTAGGAAAAACATCTGAATATTTGCACATCACGAATGAGAGTCCCAAATCCTTTTGATCCCATCTAGTTAGTTGCTCATTCCTCTCTAATTTATGACACATTGAGAATAAAGAATCTTGTTTATCCCCCTTAAATTGGAAACGCATACCATTAGAAGAGTATGTCGTCACTGCTTTATGATAATAATCGATAATTACTCGATGGACTGACAACTAGTTTATTTATTTATTTATTTATTTATTTACTTACTTTTAGGATTATGTCAAAGTTTGACTTTTCAATGACTTTTAGGTTGCAAGTCAAAGATTTTTAAATCATATGACTTAAATAAGAAATCTGCTCAACTCAATCTACCTAATGGTAATGTTACACTCATGACTGTTTCCAATTGCTTTGACTTCAAGCCCAAGATTGGTGTACATGCAGTAGAGATGAAAGAATACGAAGTGATAGGATAAAATAATACTATGTAGCTATAACAATAGTATCAATTAACACAAAGATTCAAATGGAATTTGAATAAAAGGTACAATGGAATGAATGACATGATGGTTTTAGACTTTATTGGAGTCAAAGTTATGGAGGTAGTAACCAAACTAGGTATTTAACTTGAAACTGCATTGGCCATTCACGTTTCAAACGAAACATTCAAGATTCATTACTCAGTAAAGATTGAAAGAAAGCAACTGGTTTATAAGAAAACCTCATACTACATAAAATAATCAAGGCTCAAAAGTTACCAAATGATCATCTGCTACCAAATTGGATAGGTTCAATTACGATAAGGTAGTGATGATTTTACATTCAAAGATATGATGTCAAACTAGGGATACAACTAAGGATTAAGTTAAGATGGTTACCATGACTATCATGTGACTTGCAAGAAAAATATAAATAATATAAGCCTATTCCTTGAATTTGTGATTCTACGCTTCAATTGAGATTATATATCTTCACACCATTTCTTGATATTCTAACCTATTTCCTCGAAGCTTCCAAACTTTCATGTTAATTTTACAGACAAGTCTATATTGGATTTCCGTCAGAGACACAGAGATAAAATGACCATGATTTTATATATTTATTTATTTTTTGTCAATATAGAGTAACAAGTACTCTAATATATTTTACTAAATGAATTATTATGAGATATGTAATGTGCCAATTCCATAATTTTTCTTATAAATAAATAAAAAATATGGTAGAAGTAATTTGGATATATTTAGAGTTGTTTCTTTTCGCAATTAGTATGATATAATTTGTATGAATGGTCTCAGGTGGATCTATCTCTGTTTGGTGACGCACGTACTCAACTATTCATATATACGAATGCACTTCACTATGAACGCTCAGCAAGGAGGATGGATCCCAGTCGTAAGGCAGAGGGGCAGATAAGGAAGAGGGAAGAATGAAGGTTGTGCAAGTGTCTTCACCATCTTTATGGATAAAATACCAAACTCAGTGAACCCAAAAGGACTCCACAACCTATTCACTAAGTTTGGTGTGGTGAAGGACGTATTCATTTCAAATAAGAGAAGATGGATCACAAGCACAAGAATTGGTTTTGTTAGGTTTGATTGCAAAGTGGCGGCAAATGTTGTAGTGCAAAAAGGAAATGGACTCTAAATGGACGATAAGGCAATAGAGGTAAAGCATGCTAAGTTTGGTAAGGAAACAAGGGGGGAAAAAGGACTAACAGGGCCAGTGCATCCTTAAGAAAGAAATCAAAATGGCCAACGAGGGGAAGGTAGAAGGTGGACCGAAGTGTCTACAGATCACAGGTCATATGCTGAGGCAGTAATAGGCAAAATGTGGGGTGGAAGAGATAGCATCACGGTGAAGGGTGATGAAATAGGGAATGGGTGGCTGTATGAAAGTGTAGTGGTGTGCTTGAAGGAGAACTATGCTAACACTAACTTGAAGAAGGAAATTGAAGCAATAAGAGTGGAGGATGTGTTGGTAAGAGAAAATGGGGACCGTGATGTATTGTTCACTTTTAAGTCAACGGAGGAGATGATACTAAAACTGAAACCCAATAAGGAACTGATCATGGACTGGTGTGAAGGCATTTCTGAAGGAAAATCTGGTATGGTGTTGGAGCAAGAAAGGAGTGTTTGGCTAAGCTGCTATGGGATTCCATTAAATCTGTGGAATAATACAAATGTGATGAGGATTGGTGGGTTGTGGGGGAAGTTCATATGTTTTGAGGGGGACATGAATCAACCTAAGTCCTTTGTGTGTGCTAAGATTAAGATTTCTACAAAATGCATGGAACCAATTAATAAGGTAGTCGAGTTGGAGTGCAAAGGTATGATACATCCAGTGCGAGTCTGTGAAGAGCAAGTGGTGCTGGCTAAAATGATGAATAAGGTGTGCAAATGCCAAAAGAATCAAGACTTGGAAGAGCTAGGTAGTTCGAATGCTGTAGACAAACAAGGAATGAAAAGGAGCAATAGGGCAGAGGACAGGGATGATGACATGGAGGCTGACTTAGACCATGCTCTAGTATTGATGGATGATGTGGCCATAGACCTCAAGGCACTTGGAGGAAGTAAGAGTGATGAGGTGGAGCAAGAAGAGTGTTGTGGAAGCAAAACTAAAGTTCCAGAGTCCAGAAGTGGAGTGAAGCTGGCAGTAGGAATAGAGAACCACAATATAGGGCTATCAACTGATGCAGAGGCATGTAGGCTCATGATGAGAATGGGGAAACATAATTTAGGGTTTTCGGTAGGTAATTGGTCAAGTCAGAGTATGGATGATCATGTACACACAGCAGGCTATATTAGAAGCTTAGGTGGGGCAAGTCCATCTAGACCTGGAATATATATAAAAGTGGTATTGGGCCATAACCAAGGGCTTAGTCAAGGATATGAGCGACAACAAGCCCAACAGTGCAAAAATGGGCTCGGGGGGCAGGAAAGTAGTACTAAAGAGGGGGGTGGTGAAGATGGGCTTGCTATGCAAAACTCAAGTGTCTCTGAAGCCTAGGAGGTGGAGCTCAAGAATAGACCTGCAAATTACAAGAAGGGGAAGAAGAATGTTAGTTATACAATAAAAAATGGAAATCAGCTATCAAAGAAGGGTTCACTTAGTCTACTCAGAAGGTATGGACAGAGAGGGGCCTCAACAAGAAGATCAGTCCCAAAGGTTGTAGTGTGGAGAGCAGTAGTAGCAGCAATTTCACTATCAGCCTCGATTGAGAATGAGGTAGATAAAGGGAGGTGTGCACTTAATGAAGCCCAAGCAACATTGAAAATGGGGGTAGTTTGGGGAGTGTAGTATAATGGAAAAGAGGATGAAGTGATAAATAAAATTGTGGGACTTGAGCTAATTGATTAAGGACGAATTCGAAGAGGGGACAGATTTGGAGCTTAAAGAACACCAACTGGGGTGAAGTCAAGGAGTATTTTGTTTTGTTATGATAATTCTCACATGGAATATAAGAGGGTTGGGCAAGAAGGAAAAGAAAGGTAAGATTAGGAAGCTTTTGAAGGAAAAGAAGGTGGACATGGCAATGTTCCAAGAAACCAAAAAATCTAACATATCTGAGGATGAAGTTAGATTGTTGTGGGCTAGAGTAAATATGGAATTTATGGATGTAGATTCTATAGGAGCAACTGGAGGATTACTGTGTGTTTGGGATCCAGATGTTTTCCAGATTTCAGAGTGCTACAGCAATAGGAGGTTTATAATACTATCAGGTACTTTTTTTTTTAACTCTTTTGAGTGCACTATTGTTAATATCTATGCACCTAATGAAGTGGGATTAAGAGGGAAACTCTGGGACAGTATAGTAAAGTTAAAGGAGGAGTTCCCTAAGCCTTGGTGTCTAGGTGGGGATTTTAATGAAATAAGAAACACTGGTGAAAGAAAAGGATGCTCAAGGAGAGATCGGGGAATGAGGGAGTTTAATGAGTTTATTGGCAGGTGCAAAGTGTCAGACTTGCCATTGCTTGGTAGGAAGTTTACCTACTGTAACTCAAGTGAAGGTGAAAAGTGGAGTAGAATTGATAGAGTGTTAGTTGATCCAAAGTGGCTGGAGGTATTCCACGTAAAGTTGTTAGGTTTGCCTAGATTGCTATCTGATCATAGCCCTCTCCTACCGATGGAGGATGAGAGGGATTGGGGTCCAAAACCCTTTAGGATTGAAAATGCATGGTTTCTTCACAAAAACTTCCACTCTTTTGGGGAAAATAGTTGGAAAGAGACTGCTGTAGTGGGGTGGGCTGGGTATATTTTACTAAAAAAATTAAAAACCTTGAAGATTGGCCTTAAGAAATGGAATGTGTGAAAAAATGTACATTTAAAATGAAATAACAATTCATTAATTTAAAAGAATGATCATTCTATTATGAGACTAAGAAATAATTTCAATTTTACATAGAATCATTTAATTAATCAAATGCTACCTCACGGGAAAAAAATGAAAATAAATAAAAAAATAAAGGAAAGGGATATGCCCTCTACTAACCTAACAAAAATAGTGATATTTATTTTTGGAACTCATAGTCATTAGAAAAAATATTATTATTCTCTCTATTTTTTTACACTTCTTTTTGTAACAAAAAAATAAATCACTAAAAAGATAAATTTCCAAAATAACCTACGTTTATGAACGAGTCCTAAAATTCATGACCGGTAGGGTAATAAACTCTCCTTTTTAAGAAAAAATTAATAATAAAATAATTATTTTATATTTTATATTTTATAAATTGAAATTGACAAAAGCAAGATGACATCTAATTCACCGGGGAACTTCTTTGGTATACATGTCTTATAGAGTGTGTATTATATACATCGTGTTATGTAATTTTTTTTTGTATATATTATGTATTTTTGTAATTTATTATCATAAAATTATCTTAGGCCAAGTTTAGAAAGACTAAATAAGTGCACTTTTTGACTTTTTTTGTATTATGTGTAGAAAAAGTAGAGAGGAGATGTTGATTGATGTGACCCAAAAAAGATAAAAAGATGAAATAAGTGCACTTTTTTAGGTTAGCCAAACTTGGCTTTAATCTAATTTTTAATTTTAACCTAGTTTCTTATTTAATAAAATTTTAAACCATAAATTAACCTAAATACCTTAAGTTGTTATTATAAAAATTAATCATCAAACTACTTTAATCTAATTTTTAACCCATTTGTTTATTTAATGACATTTTAAAATAAACATAAACATACATATAATAATAAATAAATCATAAATTAACCTAAATAACTTAATTTATTACAAAAACATTAAATTATAAAGTCCTTAAATTAAATTTTAATGTTTAATCCAATTTATTATTTGATAACATTTTAAAATTGGACTGCAGACAAGCTGCATTCATACAAATTATATATTTTTTTTTTATCAACCAAAAAAACTTCATTGACGAGATCAAAATGTACACCATAAGGATTACATCAACAAAGAAGAAGGATACAAAGAGCATCACAGCAGGTCATTCAACATCACAGCAAATGCCTAACCGATCATATGCTACATAGCCCCAAGTTGGAGAGAAACCAACCAACAAATAGAAACCAACACCCAAAATTGCTGCAATCCTGAGCTGCTCTGTCTGAAGCTGGTGGGCTCAACCCAACTCATTGCATCACTGCTCCTCCAAGGCACAATCTGATCTGTATCTGATCTGCCTTATATTACAAATGAAATCATTGATTGTGAAATTAAAATCCTTCAGATATGGACTCAACCACATAGCAATCCTAGTCTTGATCAACTCACACACCTCATACCAATTCGGGTTAGCTGCCTTAAAAACGCACTCATTTCTAAGTTTCCAAATAGACCACAGCACAGCCAACAGAATAGCACTCCAAATCTTTCTTTCCAACCTCTTCATTCTCCCACCTACCCACCACAATAACAACTTATCCACATATTCAGGTAATGCCCCTTGAGTCCCCTACCAATTCAGCAAATCAACCCATTCATTCCACACAAAAGGACAGCAAATTAAGACATGGTTCACAGATTCATTGGTAGCCTTATAGAACACACAAAGGGATGATCCAGACACCTGAAGCACTCCAACTCTTTGTAAGAATTCAACTGTCTTGATTCTCTTTTTCCAAGCTAACCATGCAAACACTTGAACCTTAGGATGGAGAAGTCTCAGCCACACCAATTTACAAATTCTAAGTGTTGGGCCTAAATTTTGCACAACAACATTATACATTGCAGCCACAGAGTACTGACCTGAATTGGATACTGACCAAACAGGTCTATCCACCTGGTCTAGACTCAATGCAGGACCTGCTGCCAGCAGATTTAATAGATTCTGAAACTCCACCTCCTCCCACACATACAACACTCTTCTGAATGACAGATTCCAGACCCCTACTGCATCTTTCCTATCATAGATATCTCTCAATGCATCATTTTTCTCTAGAGACAGCCTATAAAGGCTTGGATACACCACTTTCAAACACAGTTACTGACACCACTTATCATTCCAGAAGGTAATTCTTCTACCATTCCCAACCTTCAATTGGAAATTATTCAGGAAGACATCTAGCAGAGTGTTGCTTTGATCAGCAACAGCTGTGATTCCTTTCCATAATACTAAGGAGTTACTGCTGGATGTAATAGATGGCAACCATCGATCAACCTTTAACTTCTACTTGCTGCATATAACCTTCTTCCACAAAGCTTCATTCTCACAACTAAACCTCCACCACCATTTTACAAGTAAACAAATATTTACCACTCTCACCCTCCTAATACCCAATCCTCCTTGATCCATACTTTTACACACATCCACCCATCTAACCATATGGATTTTCCTTCTTAGTTCTGACCCACCCCACAAAAAGGTAGCTCGCAACCTCTCTATTTCTTTGGCAACCCCATCAGGCATCCTAAACAGGGATAGATAATACACTAGTAGTGCAGATAACACAGCTTTCACAAGAGTTAATCTCCCAGTAAATGACAACAGCTTCCTCTTCCAACTAGCCAGCCTACATCTGATTTTATCCAGGACAAGCTTCCAAGTAGCTTTCTTCCTCGGGTTGGCTCCTAAAGGTAACCCAAGGTATCTGAGGGGTAAAGACTTCACATTGCAATTCAAGACTGATGCAAAACATTCCATGGTATCATTTAAAACCCCCACCCCACACTCTACACTTTTATGATAGTTATTTCTCAATCCAGACATTAACTCAAAGCATCTTAACACCCTTTTCAAATTCCTTACCTCTTCAACCTCTGTTGCACAGAATAATAGGGAGTCATCTACGAACTGAAGATGGGAAAGTACAACACCATTTGATCCAACCTTGACCCCTTGAATCAGACGTAACTCCTGAGCTCTGGACAACAATATGTGTAATCCTTCAGCAACCAAGTTAAACAGAAAAGGGGACAAAGGGTCTCCTTGCCGTAAACCCCTTTGTGGACTGAATTCTTTTGTTGGTAACCCATTAACAAGCACTGATATCCTCGCAAATGTTACACATTCCTTGATCCGTCTGGTCCATTTAGCCCCAAAACCAAACTTAGAAATCATACAGAATAAGAAACCCCAACACTACAAGAAAAAACACTTTCCGTGACCAACATTTTGGTCGCAAAAAGTACCATATTTGGTCGCTAAAACCTTTTCGCGACCAAAATATGTTGGTCGCGAGTTGGTCACTAAAGCCTCGTCACAGATAGTTTTCTGCGACCAAAAAAGCCTTTGGTCGCTAAAAGTGACCATTCGCGACCAACTTTTTTGGTCACGGAAAGTCCAATTCATATTAGCCAAAAGTAAAGTCAGTGCCTTGACCCAAAAAAAAATAATTCTTTTGTGCTCCCTAGGACTTGAACTCCTGACCAAGGACTCACCATGCACCCAATCCACTCTGCCAATAACATACTTCTTGTTCATATTTGGCAAAAATTGGGTTATATATTATTTTATAAAACTTTTAATGCCTAAATAGAAAAATAGCATGTAATTACTGTAGTATCATTTTTTTTTTAAATTAATCCCGCCATAACTTTCCGCGACCAACTTTTTTTTTTGGTCGCCAAAGGGTAATCTTCCGCGACAAAAAAAGCCTCTGGTCGCCAATAGTATACTTTCCGCAACCAACTTTTTTTTTTGGTCTCCAAAAGGTGATCTTCCGTGACCAAAAAAGTCTTTGGTCGCCAATAGCATACTTTCCGCGACCAACTTTTTTTTTTGGTCACCAAAGGGTAATCTTTCGCGACAAAAAAAGCCTTTGGTCGCCAATAGTATACTTTCCGCGACCAACTTTTTTTTTTGGTCGCCAAAGGGTATACTTTCCGTAACCAACTTTTTTTTTGGTCGCCAAAAGGTGATCTTCCGCGACCAAAAAAGCCTTTGGTCGCCAATAGTATACTTTCCGCGACCAACTGTTTTTTTGGTCGCCAAAAGGTGATTTTCCACGACCAAAAAATTGTGGTCGCCAAAAGTTAAATTTTAGTCGCAGAAAATGGACTATTTGCGACCAAAAAAAATAGGTGGTCGCCAAAAGTATTTTTTCTTGTAGTGCAATTAATGGAATCATACACCTTCTCAAAATCCAACTTGATAATAAGGCCCTTCCTCTTTGTCTTCTTCCACCCATCAACCACTTCATTAGCTAGTGATACCCCATCTAAGATGTTTCTCCCACTTAGAAACATTGTCTGTGTTTCACTAATTATATGCGGCATCACTACTTTCAACCTATGAAATAATAACTTTGCTATGATCTTATATATTGATCCCACCAAGCTAATAGGCCTATAGTCATTTAACCCCACAGGATTCTCCTTCTTAGGTACAAGGGTGATGAAGGAACTATTAATTCCTTTTACCAGCTTGCCATTCTTATGAAATTCATTCACAAAATTAACCACTTCATTCCTCATCACTTCCAAGAATTTCTGAAAACATCCCATATTAAAGCCATCTGGCCCTGGTGCTTTATTCCCATCACAATCCATCACTGTAGCTTTGATCTCAGCTTTTGAAAACTCTGCTTCAAACCTTTCAAACTCCCATTCCAATCTTCAGAAAAATGGCTCTGAAAATGTTAAAACACTTTGTTCTTCACATGACAAGGATCCTTATATAACACCCCCCCTCCCCTCAGAGATAGAATTTATTTCATTCATTGATTGTCCGCATTTTGTCATAACATGGAAGAATCTTGTATTCCTATCTCCCATCAATGTCCAATTCATCATTGACTTATGAAGCCACAATCTCTCCACCATCTTGCTCAATATCCACACCTCTCCTCTAGCCTCTCTCCTCCTTCTTAATTCTGCCTCATCAAGTA